TCCAGATATTAGCAAGGTTTCTAAATAGTTTGTAATTTTTAAAATGCTGCCTCACTTATCTGTTTGTGCTCATTAAGCCAATGCGAGCATGGGGCTAAAGTGATTTTATAAAAGAACTACTTCACTATTTTAAGATTTGTTATCTTCAAGTCTACGGGTGCCTTTTTTTGTACAGTTAAAAGGTGTGTGTATTCTCAGCAGATTTCATTTTGAGCAGATCTGTGTGAAATCTTTAACTTTACCTCATTTACATGTGCAAAGGAGAGCAATATGTTCTTAATTTTCTTTAATTTCCCATGAGCTTTGTGTGTTTTTAATCAGCATCCAGTGTGATAGCATTATACAAAATGATACTGTGTTTGCCAGTTAAACTTAAATTAGTCTTACTATGAGGTAAATAAAATTGAGAATCTGAAGCAAATGAAGATGAAGATTAGGCTCTGAATATTTAGAGCTAGTTACTTTGAGCTAGGTCACAGATATCTTTTTGTTGGCTTTCATAAGGCTTTCACAGAACATATTCATGATGGGTTCCTTTGAGTACCTGTAGCCTGCCCGAGAGGGAAAGGTGAACTGTATTTCACAGATACATGCTGTAGAAAGAGTCTGAAAAAGGAAGTGCACATTATGAGAAAACAAGATAGGGGACCCGCGTGAGCTGCCGCCGCCTGACGAGGCGAGCCCACGGTGGGGAGCGAGGCCAGTTTGGGAGCGTGGCCGCGGCGAGGGATGCTGCCGGGCTCCGGGCCAAGGACTGCTCAGCACCACCACCACCTATGCCGGCGAGGAAGTGGTTTGGGGAAGGCGGGAGAGAAGGGGTGAGCCTCGCGGTGCAGCGCCCTCCAGAGACTGGGCTACGCTAAAGCACCCCGGAGGGGAGCCGAGCCGAGCCCAGCGCCGAGAGCGGCAGAAGGCAGCCAGCCAGCCAGCCGGGGAGCCCAGGAGGAGCCAGCTGAGCCAGGAGCCAAAGGGAAAGCCGGAGCGACCATTGTGAGCCCTGCAAGGATCCTGCCTGGAAGAGGTCTCGGGGCTGGATTGGGCTGCGGGGATCGGCTTCCTGGAGGGAGCGACTGAAAGAGCGCCAAGCCTTCTCCCGCCCCCTGTGGTGGCGACGGCGAGGCAGGTCCCAAAGCAGTTGCTCGCCTCGCCGATCTCCCCCCCCTTCCCCAGACGTCTGCAGTGAGCCTCCCAATCTCCCCCCCCTCCTTGTCTTGGGCCCGGCGGATCTTCTTCCCCCAACCCACCCCGGCGGCGAGGCCTGAGTGCCTTCCAGCCGCCGGCCCGCCAGTTCCCAGAGCGTTCTCTGCGCGTGCGCAGGGAACGCTCTTTTAATGCTTACTTTTTACCTAATGTAAATATTTTTTTTCAACTTTTAGCATTTTTGTGCACATGTGGGGACTGGCCCACCTGTGCACAAACCTCCCCCGGCCCCCCAGCTGCCCCCAGAGCGCTGATTTAGCGATCCGCACTCCAGGGGCAACTTGGCTATTAGATATATAGATGGGCTGCTGCCAGGAGTGGCAGCCCAGGGCAATTTCTCTTCCATAGTAATATACAACACAACTTTTTTGTAATAAGTAGCACAACATGTGACACACCTATCATCACGTTTCCATGACCATCGCAGGTTATGGAGTGCATAAAAATGTTCATCATAATGGTGTCAAACTATGATACGTTGGACTGGAATGTTACAGATGGAAACTTTGCATGTGCTGCCATTTTTGTCAACTGTCTCATATTTCCTATATAATTGGTTGCTGTGCCCTGATTCAATTTTAGATATCCAACACTAAGAACAGCATTTCAAGTATGTTGTTATTGCTGTACCATTAACAACAAAATTATCATTATCAGTTTTTTTAAAGAATAAGAAAAGTGAACTAAAAGTAACCTCCATAGTGAATCTTTTAGATATAATTTTATTCCTCTTTATATGAGCCTGTCTGAAGAATAGTTACAGATTATCATTATTTTTAGCTAATATTTCTTCTGAGGAGGTTAGGGCAGCCTATCCCCCTCCCATTTTATCCTGTTTATTTAATATTTAATATCCATCCCGTCTTCCTGATATATCAGCAATCTCATGATAGAGGGACAGGCCTAAGGTCACCCGGTGAACTTTATGGCAGAGTGGGAATTTTAACAGAGTGAATCTTTTGGGTACCAGTCTAACACTCTTAACCACTATACCACAGTGATTCTCATATTAATTCAAAGAGGGTGTAATGGTGACTTTAAATTGTATAGTTCAGTGTGTATAAAATATATATATATAAAAAATTGACTTCTAAAACACAGTGGCAACTGGCCAGTTAATAGCACCATCCTCTGGTACTCCATCAGGCAGCAAACCTAACATTATTGCTTCGTTTCTGGAAACATGACTGAATTGCTGTAAAAGTACCTACTTGTTACATGTTGTACTTTCAGTTTTACATACTCATAACGAGCCATGTCTTCAACAGAAATTCTATTAATTGTGTTGAACGTTACCTCAGACTTCATAAACTTTCAGTTTAGGCTAACTGGTTAAGGGAGAAATGTTGTTAGGGCTATCCCACATTTAGTGCTGACTATGCTTTTTGCATGCCTATTTATGGTCAGAAAAGGTACCGTATCATCACAGAACATTTCCCCTCATTGTCAATGAAACAAACGTTGGAGTCATTTAGCAAGATACGTTGAATGAGAGAACACCACAAACACAGTTGGTGGTTATCGCAGAAGGTGAGAATCAAATGAGAAGAAACCTTCTGCAGAACCATATCAAATACGAAAATGTCTTTGAACAAATGATTCCTAACTGTTGCTTTAAAGAATTTGAAGTCAACAGTTTGCTTGCGAGTGAATTGGACTGAACATATTAGACTTTGTGTACACAGATCAAGCTAGGTAGCTGTGTTAGTTTATCTGTAGCAGAAGAAAAGAGCAGGAATCCAGTAGCATCTTAAAGACTTAACAAAATTTGTGGCAGGCTATGAGCTTTCATGAGTCTGCTCACTTCAGAAGTATCTGAAGAAGTCAGCAGTGACTCAGGAAAGCTCATGCCACACATTTTGTTAGTCTTTAATGTGCTACTGGACTATTGCTCTTGTCTACTGTGTGTACACACTGCAACATATTCCAGCTATGCTGCTATACATCTTTGATTCGAGTTCCTCAGTTTGCATTTTGCCCTGTATCATCATCCTATGCTTCTCCAGTAGCTATGCTGTCTTTCCCGATTCCAGTAGCTATGCTGTCTTTCCCCTGATTCCAGTAGCTATGCTGTCTTTCCCTTGATTCCTTATGACAGGTAGTTTATGAAGGGGTCAGTCATAAGTTCTTTCAGAGCTGTTCTCTCAAGGGCAGTTCGCGGGAGAGCTCTCTCAGCACCACCTTCCTCACAGGATGTTTGTTGTGGAGAGGGGGAGGGAAAGGAGATTGTAAGCTACTCTGAGACTCCTGCATGCAGTGAAGGGCGGGGTATAAATCCAATCTCCTCCTCCTCCTTCTGCCTGCAAGATACAGGCAGGAGTATATCTGGTTTTGTGTGGCTTTTTTAAAAAAGGGGGAAAATATAGTCTTCTTAAAGCTAGTATAGTTGTGCATGACATTGCCATGTTTTATTGACTGCTGTGCAGAATGCTAAATAGAGATATTGTGAATTTCAAACTTAGCCAAACACTGAAGGGTAGGATTTAATTGACGCACAGCATTTAATGGTGACTGATTTATGTGATTTGTGAATGATCTAATTGTCTAGTTAAACAATCGAGTGCTGAGCAGAGTAGTTATGCAACAAGAATGGGGAGGTAGTAGACCTCGGTTGGGGCTTAGAACATGCATGCATGAAAAGCCAAAAGGAAGCTGTTGAACACCCATGAACAGGTTGATGAACTTTTTAAAAAAATCATGTGTCCGCAGCTGGCGATCAGGGCATGAGCTGAACTGGCAGGCATTTGAGCCTCTGTACTGCTAATCAGCTACCATTTCAGTACAAGTGAGAAAAGTAATATCAAAATAATTGTTCTTATAGAACACTGGAATACTTCTGAAAGAGTTTATATTTGATTTGTTTTACCTAGGCTCTCCACAGAAACTGATCTAGGTTGCCTCCTCTTAGTGTATCTAAAGAAAAGCTAGAACAATTTTCTTGGTATCCATGCCACATTAATGGTTCTCTTAGATGGGCAGGGTTCTGCTGTAAAACATTTCAAAGCCAACACAGAGCAATCTTTTGATTACACAAATGGTACTAGAGTAGGCCCTTGCATGACAAATATATGCAACCCATGTGGTCATGATTATTATATATTCAGAGAACATGGAAATTACTGCAATCTGTAATGCTTGGTTCTTATAGTATACAACTAATGTTGTTGACAAGAAATTATAGCGTGGGAAGTGGCCATTCAGTTTTGTGAAGAAATAGTTGTTGAAAGCAACGCGAATTATACTTGGAAAACCCCTTGGGTAATTTCTGTTAAGGAAATAACCTTTTTCTAAATATTGTTCTTCCTTAGGTAACTTAAAGACAATGTACAAATAACTTAATATGTTACATGAATAACATAACCTTAAGTCCATCTCTATTTAGGTACAGGAGTGATTATCCCTGGTTCACTGAGCAAGAAAGTCTACGGCAACATTGATGGGAAGGAATTTTCTTGCTGTTCTATACATTCTTTTAACATGTTGTTCCTTTGGTAATTGTGAAATGTAGCATTTGTATAGCCCAGTTTAAGTAGAGGGGACCAATTAATTTTTTTTAGAAAGTATAAATAAATAAATAAATATTCTCATCTGTACCAAAGGATTTGGAAATGAGTTTTCAAAGGTACAACCTACGGTACAGAAATAGAGCCTTGCACAGTTAGTTATGTAAGTGATGTGATTTATGAACAGACTCTCTGTTTTTGTTGATGTAACACGGATTGCTACTCTGGAAATGTGCCCTGATAAGTCTGTTCCTCTGCTACAATATGTACTTGTGCTTCTCCCCCCCCCCCAATCAGGAAAAAACAGAGATTCCCAGACAACCAGAATTGAATCTGATGTTGTGCCAAAAGTTACCAAAATGACTGTGTCTGGAAAGAAACAATCTACTGGCTTTGAAGTTCCAGGGTAAGCCTTGATTCCTCTCCAAGCTCACTTCTAGATCTTCCTTTACTATGATGCACCTGTAGCAAGGTTTCTTTTTTCTATTTTTACAGAAAGTTAGTATTGGATGCCACAAAACTAAGCAGCATGGCTTCTTGTTTGACTCAGAATTACTTTCAGAAGAAGGCATTTTTGCATTACAAGTTTAAAAAATCCTTTCACTCTGAGTAGCACAGCGAGAGAACAGCTATAAGGCCTACTTTAAAACCATCTGCTTCTTATGTTTTCTGGTTGTTAGTTTAAAATACAGGAAGATAAGTTATTTGAACCATAATCTTAAAGGAAGAAAGTATGTTAGGCATTAATCTGTAGGCTCAAGGGTGTTGTGCTCAGTGTTCCCGCTAAGCTGAGTTAGTGTGAGCTAGCTCACAGATTTTTAGCCTCCGGCTCACACATTTTTGTCTTAGCTCAGGAAGGATGGCTCCAGAGCCAACTAATTGATGCAGGAGCCAAATCGCTCGCTCACAGGTTTAACGCCAGTCACTCACAAAGTTGAATTTTTGCTCACAAGACTCCACAGTTTAGAGGGAACATTGGTTGTGCTGTCCACTTTCTGTGATTAGTATGCCTCCCCAGGTGAGAGCAGGTGTGGTGTAGCGGTTAAGGTGCCAGACTCTTTCTAATATTCGTAAACTAAGGTGAGCTACAGTGTTGGGCTATAACTTTCCAGTTTGGGGGGTGGTGGTAAATGCGGGAGGATGGAAATCTCTATGTGATGGTCTCACAAGACTCCACAGTTTAGAGGGAACATTGGTTGTGCTGTCCACTTTTGGTGATTAGTATGCCTCCCCAGGTGAGAGCAGGTGTGGTGTAGCGGTTAAGGTGCCAGACTCTGATAGTGAAGACACTAGTTTAAAGTGGCAGCTGTTAAGCCATGAAGGCTCACAATGTGACCCAGTCAAATATATGCAAAACTCTTTGGAACCAACTGTCTTTAGAAATAGAAAAGGAATTACCAGAGAGAAAGAAAACAATTAGTTGATTTATTTCTCTCTCTGTTGCATCTTATTATTCCTTCTGTATCTCACTGTGTACCAACTGCAGTCATCAGGCAGCCATTTGTTGGGTATCACACAATTTAGGATAGGCTGTCCGGCATTGCCCAGAGCCCAGGACATTGTGGCTCCAGCTCCCTGAAATGGGCTCCCTGAAGAGGTGAGGGGGGGCTTCCCTCCCTGGAGATCTTCAGGAAGCCCTGCAAGGCCTGCTTGTTTGCCAGGGCTTTTGAGGTTTTTTTAATTGAAGGTATCCTTTGGGGGGAGGGGGGAGAGATTTGGGGTTTGCTATTCTATTTTGATTTTAATGAAAATGTTTTTAACTATTGTCAAGTGCCTTGAACCACAAGGAAAGATGGAATATAAATGTCTTAATAAATAAGTAAGGTTTTTATGAGGATGGAAGATGGAGGAACCACAAGCTTCCCTTAGTATTGAATTGCTTTTTAATCTGCTTTTTGTTTCATGTTACATTATAGCATAGTGCATACTAACAGAAGAACATAAAAAAGGTTTAACCTAATATTACTAGGAGCTTAGCTTTCTAATATTTGTAAACTAAGATGAGCTACAGTGTTGGGCTAAAACTTTCCAGTTTGGGGGGGTGGTGGTAAATGGGGGAGGATGGAAATCTCTATGTGATGGTCATGAGGGGCCCCTTCAGGAGGTGTAAGGACTCACAGGCCAGACTAATTTGGAGCGAACATGTTGGTTGCACCTTCCAGTCATTGCTAGCAGGCAGTTGGAATAGCCATTCTTTTTCTGTTGGACATCCAATAGATGGGTTTGGAAGTGCTGTTATTAATGGGCTGGCAGCCACTTCAGAGAGATCCAGTCTGTGGAAGACCAAGCCTCAGGGAAGTTATATGTAATAATTGTGGCTATTTTTGACCTAGCCCTAGGTCACTATTATTATCCCCTCCCATCTACATTTCAGGCACAAGGAAGTAGGCAGGTTCCAGGGAACTTCCTGTCCTTCCTGCCTTTCTTCTTGAAAGAATGTTTCTGCAAAGGGGGAGAGCTTTGGTTGCTGCTTTATGGGATAGGCAATGTTTCTCAGTGTGTGAGACATAGAATATAGAGTCCATGTCTAACACTGGTTTCTAATAGACTGCCCACATTCCTAAACTATTGCAGGCTGCTTGAAAATTCCCAACATCCAAACCTACTCCTGGTTTCAACCCCCAAAGGAGTTAAATTTTTGACCCACCTTTTCATTAATATTCTTAAGGCCCCTTAAAAAATCAGAGCTGCATCACTACCAAGTATAAACCTGAGAGCTGGCACTTCCTTCAGCAACAGGCAATTGATACTGTCAAGTGGTTGCAGCAGTAAGAATGACAAATGGGCTGTCCTTGGGCTCTCTCTTCGAGGCATTGGGTGTGCCAGTTCCTTCTCCACTTAAGAATCATTGTAAAAATAAAGTACATGACAAATGTTCTGCCTGTTCTTAGGTTTTGGATTCTGTTACAATGAACATATTGAATAGTTTCTATCAAATCCTGTCTTTATCTAGATTGGGGTATGATGTTCAGGGAGCCGAAGAAATAAAAATGACAGTGGACTGAAATCAATGATGATTTTCCAGCAGCAGAAACAGGGAGGGGAACAATTTTCACTGATTTCACCTGGCCCACTGCATGCTTCCAGCACTGTTCTTGAAGGTGTGCTATCACTCACGAGTTTTTTTTACAGAGCTCTGTGGGTTGCTTAGTATGTGTGTGGGAATTTGGAGAAAATGCCACTCCACACACATGGATAGAAGTGACTTATTCCAGTGGAAGAGTACTTTTCGACTGGACCCAGTGTTTTTTCCCCTTCCCTTAAATGCTGTTTTCTTGGGAATTGCAAATGTTACAAGGATGGTGTAACTAAGTTATTTTGTATTGGACCCTTTGAGTATATGTGTGTATACGTTTAGCCTGGAGAGGAGACAACTGAGAGGTGATATGATAACCATCTTCAAGTACTTGAAGGGCTGCCATCTAGAGGATGGTGCAGAGTTGTTTTATGTTGCCCCAGAAGGTCGGACCAGAACCAACAGGTTGAGATTAAATAAAAAGAGTTTTTGGCTAAACGTTAGGAAGAACTTCCTGACAGAGTGGTTCCTCAGTGAAACAGGCTTCCTCGGGAGATGGTGGGCTCTCCTCCTTTGGAGGTTTTTAAACAAAGGCTAGATGGCCATCTGGCAGCAATGCTGATTCATGGGAGGGAGGGCAGGCAGGAAGGGTTGCCTCAGTGCTTAGTTCTTGTGGCCCTTTCTTACACACCCAGGGAAATGCTGATCACCACTTTGGGGCCAGGAAGGAATTTTTCTCCAGGCCAGGATCCTGGAGGGTTTTTCCCCCCTTCTTCTGGGCATGGAGCAGGGGTCACTGAGAGTGTGTGTGGAGGGAGGTATTTGTGATTTTTCCTGCATTGTTCAGGGCTTTGGACTAGACGACCCTGGTGGTCCCTTCCAACTCTATAATTCTGTGTAGACACATAATAATATGTGTGGATAAATACACAAAGTGAGAGCTACTTGAAAGTGTAATAAACAGATTATGAAAAAGTCTTGGATTAAAATCCAGTTTGGATAAACAAAAGTCAATGGAATAAAAGACCAATTTGAATGTTCTCCCACAGTACAATATAGGTCTCATAAATGCACTTTTCTGTACAGTCCAGTTTAAATAACGTATTCAGCTGAATTTTGTGGCTATCTATTCGTTTAGAACTTCAAAATGGAGGGAGAAGTACAAGGAATGTGTCAGTAGAAAATTTCATTTGTTCTATGAACTTTGTTCTCTTAAATCCTATTTCTGCCTTCTGTAGTGTGAATGCTGAGGAGAATGGGCATAATGCTCTTACGCCACAAAAAGGAATCTCAGCTGGAGATGGCAGTGCCAATTTGGGGATTACTGAGGTTCCATCCAAACCAGCACTTTCATCTCAGACTGTTCAAGCATTAGAAGAACAGACTTCAGCTCCGACTCCAATGAAAAAGTCTGGAAAAGCAAAGCAACAAATAGATGTGAAAGCTGAGCTGGAAAAGAGACAAGGAGGAAAGCACTGGCTTAACCTTGTGGTAATAGGTACTGTCTTTAGCGGCAAAAGGGAAATTAATATATATACTCTCTTTCAAATAGAATACAAATATAACATGGCTTCTCAAATATAATATGGCTTCTAACATGCATGCATCAGTGATAATTAACTGTTTTCCTCTTCTTAGGACATGTTGATGCAGGAAAAAGTACTCTAATGGGTCATTTACTCTATCTTCTGGGCAACGTCAACAAGCGAACTATGCACAAATATGAGCAGGAATCCAAGAAAGCTGGAAAGGCATCATTTGCTTATGCTTGGGTTTTAGATGAGACAGGGGAAGAGAGAGAGAGGTGAGCAATATTCCCATTTTAGTTTTGTTTTTTTTGTAATATAAAGTTAGCATGGCTAAATGTGACGTATTTCCTCACTGCCAGTGATATACAAAACAACAGTTTCTAAGGATTTCTATCCTTAGTTGTGAAACCATGACTTAAGTCATTGTAGGGCCATGATCAGTTTCCTGTGTCTTGTTTGCCTTTGCTATGGACTTGATATATAAAGTGGCAGACTAAGAAATGTTATAGGACAATCCATGCAGTTTCATTTTGTTTAAGTAGGGTGCACACTGTTGCCTCACATGAACTGATAACTTGTTTGGCTTCTCCACTGCTCATTGTGAGTTAAGAGTGCTCTATAACAGTGGTTCTCACTGGTGGGATGCAGAAGTAGTGTAGGTAGGACACAGGGGTTTTGTAACTGTTAGAATGTGCTCTCCCTCAGTCCCTGTGTCCACCTGTCAGAGTGACATGCTGTCTGCTGCTGACACTATTGGCATGCTAGTAGTAGTAACAGAATGTCCCTGCACTTATACATGTCCTCCTTGGAAAAAGCGGGCTCTTTATTTCTACCACAGTAGAACTCAGGTTCTTTGATAAAGTCCGAGGACCACTGTTGTATAACATAACGACCACTGTCTCATATAGCTTCCTTTCAGTGATTGCTGATTTCATGGAGGAGCTCCCTGATGAGCTTCTGAGGAACTTCAGGGTGCTCTGGACATAGTTTAACAAAATACTGTTGTAGGCTGTTGACATCAATACCAAAAGTGTGCTAGCCATTGTGTTTCAGATGAGTGTATCTTCTGCTATACATATCAAAATTAGGAGTAAATTGTATACCTAGTTTTACTTAATGCAGCTGTTGTGAAAATAGTTGTTTGGTGTGATGAACAGTCTTGGAATTGCTCTAATGTGCCATGATGTAACACTTAAATATAGTAAGCTCTTATCTTAGTAAGTCAGATCTTCCCCAGGACAGTTAATGCACCAAAATTGTGGTATGTTTATTATGTAACTGATGTAAAAAATAGTCATGCAACTTTAGGAGGAGGGTATTACTATGGGCATATTTATTTAACTATTTGTATCCCACTTTTTTGTATATGAGGCTCAAAGTGACTCCCAACCAACATACACCTACAACAGGCATAGCACAAAAAAATATTTTTTTGTCCAATCTCCTGCTTATCCCAAAGAATTTGTTGATGATTTTTAGAACTGGTACAACAAATAGGATAATCAGTGAGTACATGTAATCATGGTAAATTTTAGAAACCACTGAAAATTATGCATTTCATTTTATTTCAAGGGGGGTGACAATGGATGTTGGTATGACCAAATTTGAGACACAAACAAAGGTAATTACATTGATGGATGCTCCTGGCCATAAAGACTTCATTCCAAACATGATAACAGGAGCTGCACAGGTAAACAGACTCCTTTCTTGGCACTTTTTGAATATGTGGTACAATGCTAAATTGAGACATTACAAAAATTGAGTTTTGAAGTACTTTCAGCTATCAAGGATTTCCCCCCCTGCTGTCTTCGAGTGCACTCAGGTATAATTTTTTGTTATGATGGTGAGAAGAGAATGATGCTCTGACACCTTTTTTGGGGGGTGCAATTGAGCCTTTTGTTCTGAAACGTCTTCCACTATGATTGGTGGAGTGGAGTGAAGCTGTTCTAGCATGTTCTTTGGACAGGTGGCATAGAATGTTATAAATACGTTTGTAATGTTGTAAAGTAGATACATTTTAAGATGAAGATAAGCAGCTTTAAACCACTCCTGACACAAGTAACAACAATATCTTTTTTTTTTAATTCCACCCTTTTCCCATTGAGCTCAGGGTTGCATACATGGTTTCCCCTTATTTTTACCCCTCTAACAACTCTGAGAGAATTGGAATCTAGCCCCCGCCCCATCCAGCACACAGTCTACTATACCACATTGACTCCCTGACTCTTTTATTTTCTTAGGCTGATGTAGCTATACTAGTTGTGGATGCCAGCAGAGGAGAGTTTGAAGCAGGGTTTGAAACCGGTGGACAGACACGAGAACATGGACTATTAGTTCGATCACTTGGGGTAACACAGCTGGCAGTTGCGGTCAATAAAATGGATCAGGTATTTTATTTCTTGTATTAAGTATTCCCTCTTATAGAGAATGTAACACAGTGTATGAACATTACCAACTTGAAAGCAAAAGTTTGGTGTCTTGGCTGTTTGGTGTCTAGGGCATTTTGTATTGTGGCCCTATAGAAAGATCTGAAAATTGTGGGCTGTGTACAGACAATAAAACATTTGTCTTAAATTTGCTTACTTAAACTGTAGCTGGTTAGGGTTTCACTGTGTTTTGAGGGCACTAGAAGATGGTGGCCTCTGTTGATACATGTGTGGCTTGCCATGCCCACCATGAAATGGGGCTGTCTGGCCTTCTTTTAATCACAACAGTGGTCCTCAGATTGCTGATGTCTGAAAATCTCTGTTTTAAGGACACTCCCTCCTTCTGCCTTCAGGGATTCATTGAAACAGAAAGGAGGGAAGGAGACTGATGCTGGGCCAAGACTGAAGAGAAAGAGGAAGCTTGGCTTCTGCCTTCCCCTGCTGTTTATTGCAGCTGACCGACAGCAAGTGGTCTGTGCATAGTGAAGCTTTGCCAGCAGTCTGGCAATGCAAGGGAGCTGCGATAGCACCTGGGATTCTACTTGGAGTTAGGAAGGGAGACAAGAAGCAGAAAAATTTGGTTGTACAAACACATTGATAAATTATATAATTGGATAGATTGGGTTTGTGTTCATCCATATCCTGAGAATTAGTCCGAGTTAAGTAAAGCTCATTTGTTTGTTGCTTCTCTGTGAACTTGTATTTAAACTGCATTTGCCATGTTTAAATCTAGTATTCTGTCTACTACATCACACACAGTTGTTTTGTTGTGTCCCACCAAGGTCAATCTTATTTTTAAGTATTTAATAATCTTTTAAAGAATGGTAGTAACCACTCAATATAATCTAAGTTACCAACTGGTCTGATTTTCATCATTCCAGAACAAAACATGGCTTGAAATACCGTGTTTCCCCGAAAATAAGTGGGGTTACTTGTACTTGTCCTCTGCTCTTCCTCAGTAGCATATTGGACACCTTCCGACCTGAGGGGCTCATCTTCCGGCGTCATATCTTTTAGCCTTTTGATACTGTCCATGGGGTTTTCTTGGCAAAAATACTGGAGTGGGTTGCCATTTCCTTCTCCAGGTGGATCACGCTTGGTCTGAGTTCTCTGCTGTGGCCTGTCCGTCTTGGGTGGCCCTTCACGGCATAGCCCACAGCACCTCTTAGATTCAGCTAATTTGGCTCACATTTTCCATGTGAGGACATGACTTCCATGGCCAGCACTCCACTGCTACTGAACCATTTACAGATTTCCCAAATTCCTTGCACGAAACAGGTTCACCTGGTGACCTGTGTTGACAAGAAGTCGATATTGAGGCTTAAATTTTTCCTGGGAGATTTAAGTTCAGAAGAGAACGATTAGTAGCCAGTCCTGATTGGCAGAGAAAATGTCCATTGAGCACATGGCTGGGAGTCAGAATGAGCAAGAGGCTGTTCTGGGTGTCTAGGAACAGAGCATGGGAGCCCAGGAAATTCATCAAAAAAAATAATGAATCTGTGACCTCTATCCTTGGTTCATAACAGTAGAATGTAATGCTAGTATTTGTTTTACATGAGTAAAGTTTGTATTCAGAACATTCTTTTTTTACTGGAATATATGTTTTTTTACTGAAATATATGTTTTTATTACAGGTGAACTGGAAACAGGAGAGATTTCTGGAAATTGTTGTTAAACTTGGGCAGTTCCTTAAGCAAGCTGGCTTTAAGGTATAAATAATATAAAATTCAGATGATTGATTTAACTGCCTTTGGATGCCGTGTCAATATCCTCTGCTTAAAGTCCCGGAGTTTTTGCATGTACTCCATTTTAACTGTGTTTTGAAACAGCGATGGGTGTCTGCCTGAGCATCTCCCCACTCCCCAGCAGAGCTGTGGTAAAAATCTAGATGTTTGGTGACCCTAAATATATGAAGGTATCTAGCAGTTATAAAGATTGCTTCCAGATCTGCACAGGATTGAGGCTCACTGACAACCCAAAACCTGAAATATTTTCTGATCTGGCATTAATGTACTCTTCAATATATATATGTTGTTGCTTCCTTGAAGAGCATTTATCTTACTGTCCATTATCTGTGAATATATTTATCAATTGTATGGATTCTAAAGGGAGATAGTGGTAGACAGCTTTGTCCTTTAAAAGTGCGTGTAAAATGCTCTGAACAGTGAGAGGAAATGACTGCAGGTACTGATTTCCCGATTTTTTCCCAAAGCTTCATTTCATTCATGAGAGGATTTACCACTGATCTCCAGTAACTGATTAAATAGCTTTAGTCTTTTCTTCCTTGAGAAAGCAGGGAATCTTGGCTTGCATTTTCAAAAGCTTAGAAATGTATTAAAAACTGGTGTGCCATTTTTCACCATAAATCCAACTTCTCTCTCAACCAGGAATCAGATGTAGCTTACATCCCTACCAGTGGGCTTGGTGGTGAAAATCTAGTTACAAGAAGTCAGTCAAGTGAGCTGACCAAATGGTATGAAGGAAAATGCCTGCTAGAACAGATTGGTGAGTATCATACTGCTAAGATTTTTTTAGCAATTTCAGATTACAGCCAGGGGTGCGCAGCAGAGGTAAATAACTGAAATCTTATAGTTGCTCTATGTGAAAGGCAGGACCCGTTAACAAGTTGTGTTGGGTTATTTGCAGATTCTTTCAAGCCACCCCAAAGATCAGTGGATAAACCATTCAGATTATGTGTATCAGATGTTTTTAAAGGTTAGTAGTAAAGTCTGTTAAATATTTTTAATGAAGTTCGTTTTATATGTCTTCATATCCATGAATTTTTAAATTTAAAATACTAATGGTTGGGTCCAAGCTGTGATCATGGGGGGTTATGTAAAATTTTCTAATGCAACCTTAGTATTAAAAATATTAAACATCCGATGATAATGGCTGCGATTCTGCCAACTGTTTGGTGGATGTGCTCAGAAATACAGTTTTTCTCAAATTCTTTTCAACCAGCAGGAAGACTTGTACCTGGAGTGGCAAGGGGGCAAGATCCTTTCCCTCCTCTGCAAGTTCAGCTCTGCTGACTTGGAGGAAGGTGACAGGCTTGACCCATGCCCCCTTGTCATTTCAGCCTCTCAGCCCCAGGTGGGATCTGTCAGGGGATCTAAAGGAACTGCCCCAGCAGGGAGGGGAGCACAGGGCAAATTCACATCTGCTCGTGCCTTCTACTGGCAGTTGGTTGGACCGAAGCCATTACAGTTAGCCTGTTTCCTGGCACTGAATATGCCGATATAAGTGAAATGACTGGGATATTCCATAGTTTGTGATGTTGCATTGGTGCAACACCTGTTCTATGCTATCATAAGCACCTGTTTGCTGGATCTGAAATGCTTAGGATTAGCCCAGCAGAGACATACTTATTGAAATTAGTAAAAGTTGCTAGATGTGTACCAGCATGTCTCAGTGCTTGCACCTATATTCCTTTAAATCCAGCCACTTGAATTTTGATGCCAGGAGGGTTTTTTTCCTAGATACTTTCAGTGTTTGCCAAAGGAGAAAACCAAAGGGATCCCAGTAGATAACTTGATTCCAAGAGCCTCAGTCCAACAAGGGCTATGCACACATGGAAGCAGGCTTCTGTATATATGCTGTTTCTGTATATATGCTGTTTCGGGAATTGTAGTCACAGCAAAGGTAGAGTGTAAATGAAGCTGTCTTATAATGAATCAGACCATTGGTCCATCAGAATCAGTACTGTCTACTCACACTGGTAGCGGCATTCCAGGGTTTCAGGTGGAGGTCTTTCAGAATGCCTGCTACCCGATCCTTACCTTCAGATACTGGGGACTGAATCTGAGAACCTTCTGCATACCAAGCAGATGCTCTTCCATTGACCACAGCCCCTCTCTATCCTCAGTTCCCGACTCCTAGATTAGGTGACCATCATACTCAGCCAGTGGTCACTGTTTTGAATTCACTGACAACGTGCTTGTAAGGTTGGAGGGCAGTTGTTTTAAAATATCCAACTCATATTATGTACACATATTGAGGAGACAGGAATTATACAGATATGTGTAAGAATGTTGCGTACAGCACAGCAATCTCTTACTGCTTGGATTTTGATTTATTCACATCTCATTTCCTAGTCAAAATCATTTTACAAAGTTTTGCAATTGTTCAATTTTCATTATGATATAAAACTAATTATACAGCTGTTGACCTTTGTCTTACTAAATATCTGCATAAATGATGGCACTCTCTGAAACTCATCATGTTTATTCTAGATCAAGGATCAGGATTTTGTGTGACTGGTAAAATAGAAGCAGGCTATGTCCAGGTTGGAGATCGACTGCTAGCAATGCCTCCTAATGAAACATGCACTGTGAAAGGTACAGCCAGTGTGCAGTGTCGTCTCTAGTCTTGGGTAGATACTGGAAAGAGTTTTGATCTAACAGTATGTGAGATCTGAAATGAACCTCTGTCACTGAGCTGACTTGTTACTTCAGATATACCCTTTATTAGAATGACTGAAAAACTGAAACAGGAATTATTATGGTGGTCAGTATTCATTAAAAGTTAGTTTTAACAAGAAAGCCAAAGACTTAGATAAGTGTTAAAACAAAGGCTGACCTAGAGTTTTTAAATCAGTTTTTATAGGCATATAAAGAGTTTTGCTTATTAAGATCATTTCTGACAGAAGCAATAATAAATTTTGTTGGCCAAATACTGCACCAGGAATATAATGAGGGTACTAATGTAGTTTACAGAAGAAGAAAAGCGTTTCAGTGTAGTGGATTTGTTCAGTGCTCTGGTTTATACTAACTACTTCTTGAAACTGTCAGCAGTCTGGGGTTCCTCTTCTTTCTGGTAATTGCAGGGGGAGGATAGTGCATATCTCATTCTTAAAGATTTCATTTTGTTGAAAATCATAGTGAACATTTCCAGCTCAACAAATGCTTAAAGACATCTCAATATAATAATTGAGAGAAAACTATTATAGACCCAGGCTAATCAAGATCATCCCTGTGCATGCATTGTCTTGAACAGTGAAGTGAATGCGAAAGATACTGCTCATAAGATTTGTGTGCAAAAGTTCCATGTGCACATCAGGACCGCTATGTGAGCAAAGGAGCTCCTGCATTAAGACTAATAGTACTCATCTCTTTTGGTCCCCTCAGTGACTGTAGCCAGTGCCAATCCCATTCATTTCAGTGTTACTGAACTGCATGCGCAGAGCTATATTTTGAAAGGGGAAGGGTTTGCTGATGAGGGATTTGTTTGTCTCTGTGTGTATTGCATCATTATGAACCTTAGTGGCAGACTTGCTTGGCATCCGTCATATTGGAAGGGAATCTTAAGATACACACAAATAGAAATGATAAAGATGATTAGGGTAGAGAAGTACAGTCATCTGTGTCATGTTGTCTGAGATAAAGGTTTCTCTCATTCTTCTGATCCACTTCAAAGGATGTACACAACCTTGACTATGGAGGGACGAGCATTTCACTTTTTGAAGTGAGGTGGTCCTTTCAGTCTGAGAACCCACTTGGCTCTTTCGTAAAGGCAGTACAGTTGTTGGATACCAAAATACTCTTCAAACTGGACCATTCTGAACTAAAGTAGACAGGCTTGGTGGAGGGTCATGACTGATTAAGTTACATGCCTAAATGTTTACATGTGCTTCTGCTAATCAAAATGCCCTGTTCAGCTTTGAGGTCAAAGTAAAAAAAAAGGTCTCAGAAGTTTTGTTTAAAAATGCATATTAGGAGAAGGGATGATTTGAAATGTTCGAGAAGGCAACACCTAGGAGTTTGGATTCAAGGATCCCAAATAATGGTTTTTTCATTTTACAAGAGAGCTGTTCTCCTTGACAATTCTCATATTATAAAGCAAGCTAAACTTGTTTAATCTCCAGTAAAATCGACTGGATGGCTTTGTGAACAGCATCCCATGCTTCTACTTCATTAATTCTCATTAGTAACTGAATACTTTATGCATGACTGTAATACTGGTACTATTTTAATGCACAAGGCTTAATTGTCATTCTGACATTACAATCTTCAGTTTGAAATACACTTTGTTTATATCCCAAACAGGAAGAAAGACTTGAGACATTAAACACTATATTAACTTGGCAACGTTGCTCTGTAACACATAAAATTATTCTACAATCAAGCATTATTAGTACTTTTTAATTTTAATACTTGCTGAATACTTTTTCTTTATATGATCTCCTGTTACTGATACCAACAAACATAAATGCTTTATGTATGTGTTCAGTTACGTATGTATTACAGGATTTCTTCAGTAATCTTTGTATACGATTTTGATGATTTCTAGTACAGATTTTAGTGTGCCACATAGCAGACTTGTTTGTTTCACCATTATGTAGAAAGCCAACATAAACTCATTTGTTGAAAAATGAAAGCAGGTACCTCCAAAACATTTAAAACAGCTAAAATGTTGCGGGCAGTGTGCCTGTACATAAAGAGCGGAAGGAGGGAGGCTTGTCGAATTCTTGTGCAGTCATACTTTCAAAATTGTGATATCTGTACAGGGTGATGTGCTTAGAGCCCAAAGTTGTGACGTGCTGAGAACTTTCTGAATATCCAAAGTAACCTGAGATAATGGTGGTTCCAGAAAACAAAAACGTTGTTTCTCTGAGGTTTTAGTTAACAGCTTTTACTATCACCTCATTCATACTGAAAACTGATGAGCAATGGTTTGTGCAGCAGAATTTGGCACAAACAGTAATGCTTGTAGCTGTTAAACCAAGGTAGTTTACTGTTCAGTTCTGGTCTTACTCATTTCTAGGAATTGCCCTGCACGATGAACCAGTGGATTGGGCTGCAGCAGGAGATCACATTAGTCTCACTCTGACTGGCATGGATATCATCAAAATCAAGTGAGTTCAGAAAAGAGTTGTATTCTAAGCAACGGTTTGTTTATCAAGAAACTTTGTAACCGTTGCGCTGAATAATCAGTGGTTTACCAGGTTTTTTTTTTTGGGGGGGGGGAGAACTTTGTTACCTGTATCTTTCAAGCAAGAGTGAGGCAGGCCATAGGGAATGAAAAACTGTCAATATTTTGACCGTAATCAGGCCGTTTTGTAAAAAATGTAATGCTACATTGAGTTGCTTACAAGGTATACTCTCTGACATACATAGTTCCATTTTCTGAAAGTTATACTAAAGCCCAAATGAACACTCATTTGGTAAAGACCCAGTTTTAGCTACTGAGGTTTGTTTCACAAAGACCCAGTGGAACAGTTTGCAGGCTCATGAATATGTACTTCTGCCCTCCCCTTGCTGAAATTAGGAGGGACGTCCTGACAATACAGTTCCTCAGTGGAACAGGCTCTCTCGGGAGAAAGTGGACTCTCCTTCTTTGGAAGTTTTTAAGCAGAGGCTAGATGGCCATCTGACAGCTTTGCTGATCCTGTGAACTCAGGCAGATCATGAGAGGGAGGGCAGGGAGGGTCACATCAGTGCTTAGTTCTCATGGCCCTTCCTTACATGCCCAAGGAAATGCCAATCGCCAGTTTGGGGTCAGGAACCAATTTTCTCCAGGCCAGTTTGGCCAGGGATCCTGGAGGCTTTTATGCCATCTTATGGGCATGGAGCAGGGGTCACTGGGGGTGGGGGTGGAGGTATTTGTGAATTTCCTGCATTGTGCAGGGGGTTGGAATAGATGACCCTGGTGGTCCCTTCCAACCAATGCTCCCTTTAAGCTGTGGAGTCTTGTGAGCAAAAATTCTACTTCGTGAGCTACTGGCATGAAAGTTGCGAGCGAGCAATTTGGCTGCTGCATAAATTAGTTTGCTCTGAAGCCATCCATCCTGAGCTAAGACAAGAATGTGTGAGCCGGAGGCTAAAAAACTGTGAGCTAGCTCACACTAACTCGGCTTAGAGGGAACACTACTTCCAACTCTATGATTTTATGATTCTGTGATTCTATTAAATGGATTTTTTTCCCATCCTTCTTCCAAGTTAACTGTGGTTTTGTGTTGCTGATGGAGAGCAAGTTCCCTTGTATCCCTGGCTCACAAACCCACTTCAAAACACTTTTCTGGTTTACAGTGGCACCATGTTTTGTCCGTGCACATGCTCTTCTTTGCTGTTGTTGTTAGCCATTCAGTCATGTCCGACTGTTGGCAATTCCATGGGCCAGCTCTCTCCACGTTTTCTGATCTTGTACTGTTTCCATTCCGTGCGCCTTGGTGTTTAGTCATGCCGGCCACATGACCACGGAAACGGACAGCGCTGGCTCTTCGGCTTTGAAACGGAGATGAGCACCGCATCCCTAGAATCGGATTCGACTGGCTTTCGAGCAAGGGAACCTTTACCTTTACCTTTGTCCTTGAGTGGTTCCATGCTCGGGCTGGTGTCAGTTTTTATGGTGTCTAGCCACTGTGTTCTTTGGTGGCCCGGTTTGCTTTTGCCGCTAATCAATCCAAGGATAATTGCTTTTTCTAGTGAATTATTCGGCATGATATGGCCGAAATAAGTCAGTAGCAGTTTTATGATTTTTCCTTCCAATGAAATGTCCAAGGAATGTGCAGGAGCCTTCTCCAGCACCACAGTTCGAATTAGTCGAATTTCCTCCTGTCTTGCTTCTTCATGGTCCAACTTTCACAGCCATAGGTTGCTATGGGGAACACAGTAGCACAGATTAATCACGAAGAGTTATGCTTGACTCTGCGACTGAACAGTAACAACAAAAAAATTCATGGTCTGAACCACAGTTGGCGCCTGGATATGTCTTGACAGCGAGTACTGAACTGGTTCATCTATGATTGCATAGGATATAGTCAGTCTGATTACGGTGTAGTTCATTTGGAGAGGTCCAAGTGTATAAGCAATGTTTGTGCTCTTTGAATCAAGTATTCATGTTTCGAAAACAGTTTTCTTGGCAAAATTGTACCAAACGATTGGCTGCATTGTTCCTTTCCCCATGTTCAAATCTACACATGATACCTGCAGGCCCGTAGCCAGGATTTTTTTAAGTCAGGGGGCATTTAAATTAGGGGGCACTGGCTAATCGAATTAAAGGAATTAAAGGAATACCTGGCTCCTTCCCTGCACCTGTCACCAGTTGGGGACCGTGGGCTGGATGGGAAGTCATGGGGCCTTGCCAGTAAGTGAGGGGGCCTAGCCCCGAGATGCCCCACTGTAGCTACTGGCCTGGTTGCCTGTCTTAGTTTGGGTGCCACCTTTTGCACTGAAATCTCCCAATATGTAAACAATGTCTTTTTTGGGCACTGTTTTCAGAGTTTCTTGGACGATGGCATAGTAACCCTCTATGTTGAGTTCTGTTGCATCAGTTGTGGGGGCATAGGCTTGGACAACTGTGATGTTGAGGAGCCAGGCACGAATTCGGATGGTCATAATTCAATTATTGACTGTTGAGAAGCCTTTCACTGCACGAGCAAATTTCTTGTTCACGATAAATGCTACTCCATTTGTTTTCTTGGTGCCATGTCCTGAATAGTAGACAGTAAAATCCTCAGGTTGGAAATAGCCATTGTCTGTCCAGTGTAGCTCACTGATGCCAAGGAGGTCAATTTTCAACCTTATCATTTATTGTTTGACAATATCCAGTTTACCCTGACTCATTCCTCTGACATCCCATGTTGCTACTCTGTGTGTCTCTGGACAGCGTAGGCTCTTGCTTTCACTTTTGGCTTTATCAGCAGCTGCGATTCCTCCTGGATTTGTCCCAGGCACATTAATACCATGACTACTTGCTAGAGATCTTTGCTCTTCCCCAGTAACTTCTTGGGTACCTTTTGGCCTGGTGGTCCTGCCATTGGGCATCATGTCTGATACTTTTGAGAGCCTTTCCATAAAATTTTCTTGGCAGATTTTTCTGGAGTAAGTCGCCAGGTCTTTCTCCAACCCTCCCCATTTATTCGGGCTTGGGACCGGCATGCACACAGGTGTACATGGCTGGGTTACTCCTTTTTTAGGTTAATGTTAAGAGGGAAGGAGTGAGCACTTTCTTATAAGGCTGACTTGCAGCTTGCAAAGCATGACTTCAGAGAGCTGGTATTGAACCTGTATGTTAAACTGAAGTGGGCGCAACAGAAGGAGAAGAGAACATATCCACTCCTTTACTTGGGCTCTGTGCATGGAGTGAGGGGGTTAATTTGGTTCATTCCATGTTTCATTTCAGTTATCCCCAGTATCAAGTTCTTGCTCTCCAGCTGTTTTTCCATGCCAGTTTTAGATCTGTGAAGCGCTTTCTGCCTGTAATTCCCACCCGCTTTACTGGCGTGCTTAGTTTCACTGTGCCTGTATATAAAATCTAACAAATGGAGACAGCTTTTTTTGGCCACCACCTCCTTTGGCTTGCTAGGATCACATCAGAGCACTGGAATCCCTTCCTGCCTGAATTGTTTGGGTGTGTGTGTGGGGGGGGGAAGAGTTTTTGAGCTTCACGCGTGAAACAGCTTTTGAAGATTCTCATTTATTGGAATTTCACAAAATATAAAAATGAGATTGATAATATAATGGGAGATGTGTTAATTAAGGGAGACATGACAGGGTATGAGGAATGGGGATAAGGTTGTTATGCCGTCGGTTCACTGAGCTGCATGAAAAACAAACTGCTACTGGAAAACCAGTCACCAGCTCAATCTGAACATCATACAAAAGCCATATGTTAATTAAACCATGATTAGTGCGCTGGTCTGAATGCAAGCCACAACACTAAATGGGTAAAGATCATTCAAGCAAGGATCTGAAGCTGGTTTATTAACTACAGTTAGTCTGAACTACGGTTTTGTATGACGTCTAAATGTAGATATCCTGGTTAGATCCTGGCTTGTCTTCTGGAAGTGTGCTCCCAAGCAGCAGGGGGAAGTGAAACCATTTTCTGTCAATGCAAATGGCAGTTTCAGTCCTTGTCTGTGAGCTGAATATTGTTTTCACAAATTTAACCATAGTTAAAACCACATTTTTGCTATATGTCTGAAAAGAGCCATAAATTAGGTCTATTCCTGTATTGGGATGGTGGTGGTATGATTTGGGAGTTGCCCGTGAAACACAGGGCTGGATACCAGGCATTGTGCAAAGAGTCTTGCTGACGTCATTTGTCTTGTTGCTTGATGGATCTGGAGTAGGATTTTATATAAGAGAATATGGTCTTACATTCTAGTGACAGGGCTTCATTTACTTGGTTTATACCCTTCCCCTCTCCCCAGTAGGGACCCAAAGTACTTTACATAATTCTCCTTTCCCTCATTTTGTCCTCTCAGCAACCCTGTGAGGTAGATTGGGCTGAGAGGGTGTGACAAGCTCAAAGTCACTCGGCAAGCTTCCAGGGCAGCGTGGAGATTAGAGCCTGGGTCTGTCAGTTCCTAATCAGACACTCTAACCACTGCAGCACAACTTTGCCCTCTTTGCTGCCACTCAATAAGATGAATTACTGACTACTACATCAGCTGTAAGGTAGAAGGGCAGAGGGAATAAGAATAAGAAAAGTTTACTCTGATTGGTGAACTTTGTGCATAGGAGCCATGACTACATCATAGCCAGGGAAAAGGGAAAGGAGTAGCAAAAAATTAGGCTCCCCCTTTTAAAACACCAGTTTGATTATCTAAAGCTTGGGAAGGGTGATGAAATTCTCTTTCCAGATTTTTTATGACAGTTTTGTGAACTGCTTTGTCTTAACACCAGAAGTTACTCAGGGAATAATAAAATGAACTGATTATGTGCATGAAAAGTGCATATTTTATGTGCTTGTAATTTTCTTTAGTATTGATTTGATAGAGTAGATACTATAGTGGGTGTCCCAAGATATGCAGTAGAACTATTTCCAGTGCAGTGTTCCTTCCTGTCCTTTGAGGCTGGAAAAACCAGCAATACCAGCTGGATAGAAATGAGGTAGAGAACCAGCAGTCCTTAGCCAAAAGTGAGAAGGAGGATTTCCCCTTCCATTTATTGCAGCTGACCAATAACAGCCAGGCTTTGTAAATAGTGAGGCTTTGCCAACAGGCAGCTCAGGATATTAGTGGGGATTCTGCTTGGAAGAAGGAAACAAAGCAAGTGACAGACTAACTTGGATGCACAAATTGTGGCCTTTTTATGTACACCAGGTAAACTAACCGGTTTGTTCAACTATTGTGATTTAATTAAGCTACAATTTATTGTTACATCTAATTGAAGCTAGTGTGTGATGACATTAAAAATGTAGTGTCTGTATATGGTCTGATTGGTTTCCACATTACCTCTTTTGCAGGGTTGGCTGTGTATTTTGTTGTCCCAAGGAACCTATTAAAGTCTGTATGCGCTTCAGAGCACGACTCCTCATCTTCAATATTGAGATTCCCATCACCAAAGGATTCCCTGTAAGTCTGGGCACTGAGTGTTTTCAGAAGGTTGTACAAGTTTTTAAAGCACTTGAAAATAAATCATGCTTATCCTATCCATGCAGTATTGCACATTGATGCTTCCTTGTCATCCTGAGCATAAGGTACAGTCTACGTCTTGATATTGTGCTTGACAAGATGACTTTATTCACTAATCCTTGGAAGATTCAAAGTCATGGATCAAGATATTGGACAAAAGAGTAGACAGAATCTTCAGACAAGGGAAGCTGCTGTTGTGTCAGATGGGTTGCATGGTTAAATGAGAATATTGTACAATGTAATAGTGGGCGGGTTTCATGCTGAATAAGCTTCAGGAGCATTATCAATTAAAACAAAACTATTTTTTTAGGTGCTTTTACATTATCAAACTGTAAGTGAGCCTGCCACTATTAGAAGGTTATTGAGTGTGCTTCACAAGAGTACAGGTGAAGTCACAAAGAAAAAACCTAAGTAAGTATCTTATGAGGTAATTTGTTCTGAAAAATTAAGTCTGAATGTATGTCATGTAATATAAGTCCTACTTGAATGTGTATTAGAGTTAGAGACTGACTCACATTATAATGAGTATAATGTAATGCAAACAGTCTTCTGTGTGGGTCTCAAAATACTGTAAAACAGATATTTTTATCCTGTTGAGGTATAGTGAGTTTTAGTATCATGTCTGGAGCCATCCTTCCTGAACTAAGACATGTCTACAGTAATATAATTTGATATTTTACGGCTGCAGTCCAGGATTCACTTGCTTGAGAGCAAGCCTCCTTGACACTTACTTCTGAGAAGACATCCGTATGATTGATAGTTATTTGGGGGGAGGCAGGAGTGACCAGTCAATAAGTTATCAAGGATCTCCTCCCCTTCTCTGGAGCAGTCTGGAACTAAAGGAGCTGAAAATAGGAAAGGACAGCATATTGCCAAAAGAGAGGAAAATCTAGTGCATACTGTAGTGGTTAAGTGCACGGACTCTAATCTGGGAGAACCAGGTTTGATTCCCCACTCCTCCACTTGCACCTGGCTGGATGACCTTGGGCAAGCCGTAGTTCTGATAAGAGCTGTTCTTAAAAAAGAGCAGTTTCTGTCAAGAGCTCTCTCAGCCCCACCTACCTCACAGGGTGTCTGTTGGGAGGGGAAGGGAAAGGAGTTTGTAAGCCGCTCTGAGACTCCTTTGGGTAGTGAAGGGCGGGGTATAAATCCAATCTCCTCCTCCTCTCCTCCTTCTATATTCAGGAATCCATTTCTGGGGGGGGGGGTTGCCTCAGGACTTAATGAAAATGGAAACTGGAAGACTTTTAATTATTATGTGAGCAGAATTTTGGAATAGTTTACGAAAGGAAGTTGAGAGGAACTTGTGGCATTCATAGAAAAAGAGAAAAAATTCTGTCTCAGATGTGACATATAGTGTGTTCACCTTCCTAAGAGAGCCAGTTTGGTGTAGTGGTTAAGTGCACGGACTCTAATCTGGGAGAACTGGGTTTGATTCCCCACTCCTCCACTTGCACCTGCTGATGTGACCTTGGGTCAGTCACAAGCTCTGGCACAGCTGT